TTAAATTTATATTTTATAATAAAATAAATTAATATATTATTAATAATTTATCATGTTATTTATAATAGTTTCATAATTATAATTGTTATATATAATAGTAACAATCAACAAACATAATTTGACACAATAACACATCAACGATCATATTTTTACTACAACGTGATGTCATCGAAGTGATAAGTGATCACATTGATATAACAATGTTGTGTAATTAAAACTATATTGTATTTTATGTATAATTATAACAAAAATGGTTTAATCACCCCTTTTTTATAATGTTATCATTATTGAAGATACATAGTGTTTGTAATAAAGCGCGTTTTGGCTGAAAACATATAGTTCAAATTTAAAACAAAACAAATAAGCATTTAATTTATATAAACAGAAACACACTGGTTTAATTAATGATCAATAAAATGATTATATGTGATGTACTTGATGTGGTAGTTATATAGATAACAATTTAAATTATTTGGATGTTAAAATTGATTACATACTATATTATTAATATTATTTTACTACAAATAATATAAAGTTAAAAAATAATAATATAATAATTATTATATCAAATTAATTTGTTTCAAATAACAATGATGTCAAAATAATGTTATTTAAACACACCAATAAACAAAAATATTAAAATAATTTTTGTTTTAAAACGAAAAAATTTAAAGAATATTTTAAATTAACGACTATCTGTTATTCCACGACAATGGATCAATAAGAAATAGACATATAAATGTTATTTATTATATTATTGACAGTTATAGTTAAAAATATTAGATTATTTATAATGTATTGTTTATTCGATTGATTATGTAACGAATTGTGTTTTGTGTTTTAAATAGAAGTTTTTGTTTAAAAATTTTAAAAATAAATACAGTAAAATTACCCCGTTTTGTTCAATTGTTTTAATAAAGCAAAATATTTATTGTTATTTTTAATTAATGAATACTATTTTAACAAATTAAATGTAAAGAACATTTTGGCGTTTTTATTTGGAGATTGCTAAACAATAAAATGGTTTAAATTAATTAAAAGTACTAATTAAAGTCTTATAAAAAACGTCATTTGCCAGATAACAAAAAAGTTTATGATAAAACAAAAAAATACTTGATATAAATTTGAATAAACACGATAATTGAGTTGGTTATTTCAAGATTTGTTATAGATAAATTTATAGTTTAAAATTGCATTATTTTAAACAACAATGTGCAAAACCAATTTGTAATCAAAAATTATCGTTTTTTAATCTTAATATCCCGAAAAAAAAACATTTGAATATCTAATAAATATCTTAAATCAACATTAAATAATTGTGTGAAATAACACACAAATTTCTTATTATATTTGGAATAAAAATTCAAAAAATAAATAATTACTTATTATTATAAATAACTTTGCCGCCTTACATTTGATTGACGAAAAA